TGTCAGAACCACCGCAAAGTTTTGTTGAAATCAGTTAAAAATGCAATCCTCAATATATAAACGTACAGAACACACACACACACACACACACACACACACACACACACACACACAACCTGTTTTAATAAGTATAACTCGACATGAGTTGATTTTCAAGTTGATTTCGTGTAAAAACAATTGTGTTTTTCAAATTTTGAAAACCGTTGGAAATCCAAATCAGTTGAAAATGTTGGAAATCCAATATATAAACGTACAGTCACACACACACACACACACACACACACACACACACACACACACACACACAACCTGGGTTTTATAATAATAAGTATAACTCGACATGAGTTGTCCCCTTTCATTCTTATACGCAATCCTGATTTTTGAAATCAGTTGAAAATCGAAATCAATCCAATAAAAACACAATTGGGTTTTATAATAAGTATAACTCGAAATTTTGGCGCTGTTTCAGAAAAAACCACCGAACCACCGCAAAGTAATTATACGCAATCCTGTGAAGTTTTGTTGAAATCAGTTGAAAAATGTTGGAAATCCAATCCAATATATAAACGTACAGTCACACACACACACACACACACACACACACACAATCTGCGTTTTATAATAAGTAAGATAATACTAAAAGGCAAACATATCATTTGTCACTTGTTTAAAATAATCTGGTACAGTGTAAAAAAATCGAATTAAACATATTGTTTGGACTATTCACATTTTTTCTCATCTGTTCGACTAATCTCTTTTAATATGAAATATCAGACGACCACAATGCTTATTAATACGAACGCTGTAGGTCTTCTAACTTATGACAGAATTTTGATAAAGAAGATATAAATGATTTCTATACAAACACGATGAATTAAAAAACTATTGGCAGAACTATTGTTCATATATGGCAATTAAAATATTTGTATAAAAATATATGCAACTCAATAAATATTTATTAAAATATGATTTTAAAATTGTTATGAAAATTAAAAGTTGCCACTTATATTTTAACCGACATTTGTTATGTATAAGACTAAAATGTTTACGAACAGAGACGATTAAGTTATATAGATAATGGTGGTATCCTGTCTAAGAGAAGGACAACTATGTATTCAAAACACTGGAGAATGAAACAAAAATACCCCCCTAAAAACAAAACAAACAAAGCAAAAAAAAACTGAAAAAAAAAACAACATTGCATTGTCTTTCCATAAAGCTATGGCAGATAAAAAATAAAAGTGTAGAGATTGAAGATTACTTACGTCATGACCCCGGTGTTCATCAGATCCATACAGCCTGAGACCCTGTTCAAAGATGTGAGGTGGCATGACATCACCCTCACTGAAGACACACCCTAGAGCCATCTCAGCTTGGGAAACTGCGACTTCATGACAAGAAGAACAACGTATAGATTGTTGGCAAGCCATCTATTGTTCCGGGTATTCTGCAACTGGTGCCGACAAAGAATCTTTTTATGAAAGAAAAAACAGATTGTCTCTGTTTCAATAGGATGTTTCATCTGGTCTAAGAGTTTCTAGTTCTTCGTATGTTAATGATAGAAAGTGGACTATTATGTTCTTATGATGTACGGTACCAATACACAAATACATTTTCGACTTTAATAATTCATTGTAATGACAATGCTTTGTCTTTTGTTAATTCACGTAATTTATAAAATAAGAAGCATTTTCATTATTATTAATAATACTTTCTATTGCGGCAAATATTTCCACGCTACTGAAGACCGACTTTTACCGAGCTAGTTTCGTAAAGCATACATGAAAGAGATGAATTCGATGCCTATTGGGAACTTTAATGCCGTCGTGGGGGAACAGACGGATTTAAGTTGATTAAATAACTGACTTAGCCCAGAGCATTGTAAACTAATCATATATGTGTCAGCCTCCTGTTAAACATAGCAAAATTTATAGCAATAAGGAAAAGTTCAGAAAAAGATTGCTCACCCATTAGTATCAGTTGGCAATCGACCGGCGTTGACTCAAATACAGGTATCTATTAAAAATGCAGACGTATGAAGTAATACAGGGTGTTCAGGCTGAATTTGACAGTTTTTTAAAGGAAAGCAAAGCGAATATCTAAGCCAAAAAAAAACATACAGATTATAATAAAAAAAAAAACAATTCCCTCAAAGAAGCCAACCTCATTATCTAGCACAACCTTAATTCGACTGCGGAATCTGCGCATGCGCCTTTCACGTTGCCCATAGGAAGAGACTCAAACAAATCCTTAATTCTGTCGATCAGCTGGGCCTTGGTGTTACAGACACTGCTGTTGGTGTCTTTCTCAAACTTGCCTCACACCTAATAATCCATTACAATCAGAGGAGTTAAGAGGCCAGACGTTGGGACTAGTGAAGTCGTAAAAATTATCTGAGAACCACTTCTGACTCTTCCTGGAAGGTGTGACAGGCAGCCGAATCTTACTGTTACACATATGGTTTTCCAGCTGCCACCCTCTCCAACCAAGGCTTGATCACGGTGTTTATCAACTCCACATAGCCATACAAATTGAGACTGAGACTCTGTTTATAGATGTGGTATGACATCAGCCTTACTGTAGATACCCGCAAACCATTACAGATGGGGAGACTTGGTCTTCATGATATGAGGAACGTTATATGGATTGTATACAAGCCATCTGTTGTTCTGTATGTTGTGCAGCTGGTCCTAACAAAAATTCTTTTCGTGACAGAAGAAACAGGTTGTCCCTGGTTCAACAGGATGTTTCACCTAGTTTAGGAGACTTGCAACACCTATTTCTCGCCACATAGCCGTCTTCTCTTGCGTATGTTTTCCATCACTTTCCCCTGCGGTTTTTGGATGAATTCTGGTGTGCGGAGGCAATCAGGACAACTGTTCTTTCCTGCAAGCCACGGCCTCGTAGTCTCAGTTGCAGTTCTTCATTTCACTTCTTATTGTTTTCACGGTGTTTAAAGAGCATTGAGCAACTGTCATGATTACAACATTTTGATGGTCAGCACGGATCATCATGATGCAGGTTACCCCTTTTTCTAATATTCATGTGGCTTCCAATCGTCGATGTCAGTAAAATTTGATACTTCTAAAACTGTATTGACTAGAGTGTCACAATGGCGTTCACTGTATATTCCAAACCAAGTGGACAAAAATAAAAAGATTAGACTCTTTCAAATTCAGGCCGAACTCCGAATTAAATATCTTAATTTTAGTGAGACGGGCTGAGACGTTTTCAAAACACTCCCGATCATTTTTTTGTATAATACTTCAACAAAAGAGTATAATACATATTGATGGGCGAAACGCCAATCTCTCTGACGTGGAGAGTTGGTTATTTTTTGTTTTTAGTTTTACTAAAACTTACATTAAAGACTCCAGAGCCTCTCAATGCTTGACCACAGTGTTCAGCCATCTGAATTGACCTTGAGACCATGTTCAAATTTGTGGGTAGAATGACACCCCCAATCGCTCACAATTTAGGGAAACTTTCTTCATGACACGAGGAATATCATATGGATGGTAGGCAAAACATTTGCTCTTCTGGGTGTTGTCCAATTAGTACTGATAAATATTATTTTTATCAAAGAAAAAGATTGTCTGATTCAATAGTATGTTTCACCTTGTCAAGGAGTGTATTTAGCTTTCTCGAGACATTTCTGTAAAAAGTTGACCTTTACTCTTCTTGTATGACTACTAACCTCATTCAAAGCCGGTTTCATCGTGTTAAGTACAACACCCATTACCCGCGCCAAAGCCCACATTTCCTTGTCTTGTTTCTGGGCCTTCTGTCACTTTCTCCTGCAGTTGTTGGATGAATTCTGGTATATAGCGGCAGTCAGAACGTGACCTACATTCGTTCATGTTAGTTAAATTTGACCTCTAAAACTGTATTGATTAGAGTGTCACAATAATGCTCACTGTTTATATATATATTCAAAAACAATTTGAAATAATAAAAAAAATAAACAATTGTTAGATTTACTCCGAACACCCTGTATTTACGAGTTCTGATAAAAAAAAACCAAAAAACAAAAAAACTAACGGAACTGTTGCTATAAAAAGGAAAATACAATGCATATTAATTCAGCATTTAACTCCCTTCGAAGTAGTCCCTTTCTGAAGCCATAAACTTTATCGAATGTTATTTCCATTGATGTAATCATCTCTGTTTTTGGAGATACCTCGTTGCATTCACTTAACAATCCTCGATGTCTTGAAATTGTATTCCTTTCAAGTGGGATTTGATTTTTGGAAAGAAGAAAAAAATCGAAAGAGGCGAACTCTGCGGAATATGGAGGTTGTTGGGCATAGTTTTATTGGTCAAAATCTGATGCATAATAGTTGCTCACTAATGGAACTTCTGCAGCGTGGTGAGACGACGACGCTGTACATGATTTCCTTCTAAGTGCTGCTAAAAAGGAAGTAAGCAAGAACGTTATAACTTAGTGAGCAATCGCGACAAGGTTCAAGGTTAATCCATGCCAAACAGCTTCACTCTGTGTACATAGCAATGGCCCTGGTACTTTTGGAAGAACACCTCGTACATACATAGCTTTCAAGCACCCAAATACCCTTATTTTCAAGGGCAAACATTTAACATTTTGTTAGGGTTTATCTTACAAAATTTTGTTGTTGATATTTCACATTTTCAACAAATCTGTGGAAGGTCGCATTAGAATTAAAACCTTTTAAGCTCAAAGAACATTGCAAATGAAATGTAAATGAAAAAATAAATGTGTGAATTCTGTTCTAGATACTGTACTGAATAAAATAATTTTGTGTTTAGCCATTTTGAACATGTCCATTTATAATGAAATCTTTTTTAAAACCCCAAACTCCAGTCATATTTTAGATAGGACAACAATAGATTTAGACAATTATAATGGATTCCCGTCGAAAAATTGTAGCTGATGAAGTGGGGAAACTTGTGGCAATCCATGAAATTTGATAGTTATTTTATCTTTGAAAGGAGGCAAGAGTATAAGATTTTCTTTTCGCATTATGATCCAAATATCTCAGGTAGATTCTAATTTTCTTTCACCTGCAAAACTCCTCTTTGTTTTTCTTTCGTAAAGAGATAAATGGATTCAAGTGTTTCTTCAGGCCGTATATTCATAGTTTATATAAACGTCCTCGTGCGAAATTCTAACACCCTCTGCCAATTCCTTTTTTAGTGCTCATAACCGAAACACCATTACGTATTTCCGAGTTGATTGATTGATTGAACTGTTTGTTTAACGGCATATCAACTCCTTCACGAGTCAATTAATGCCAACATTTAATCGAAATATTTTAACAAAATTTTATGGCTTCAACTAAATACAGGATGTCCCCAAAAATTGTTATCATTTTAAAAGCAATTATTATGAAAACTACTAAGTCTAGCTCAATTAAATTGCACAGTTTAGGTGTTGAACACCATACGTTTATTATGGGAACGATTTCATAAGTGAAAATATGTGTCCCGCCTGTGACAGGGCACACGTCAAGTCGGTAGTTATACTCTTACCAAACACGAACTGCTTGGGTTCATCAATGCTAGCAGGAAGAATAGGGACATAGACCAGTTAATTCACATATTCCCATAAAAAGAAATCACATGGGGACAGGTCCGGTGACCGCGGCGGCCATTTCATCGTCTCCACCAAGCCCGATCCATTTCTCTGGCAGATTCTATCTATCTATCTATCTATCTATCTATCTATCTATCTATCTATCTATCGATCTATCTAGGCATATGAATTATCTATCTATGTCTCTTGGCAGGTTCATTATCTATCTATCTATCTATCTATCTAGGCATATAACACGGTGTCGTATGTCTGTGATTGTCTGCTTGGGTTCATCAATGCTACCAGGAAGAACAGGGGCATAGACCAGTTCATTCACATATCCCCATAAAAAAGAAATCACATGGGGACAGGTCCGGTGACCATGGCGACCATTTCATCGTCTCCACCAAGCCCGATCCATTTCTCTGGCAGATTCTATCTATCTATCTATCTATCTATCTATCTATCTAGGCATATGAATTATCTATCGAGGTCTCTTGGCAGGTTCATTATCTATCTATTTATCTATCTTTCTATCTACCTATCTATCTATCTATCTATCTATATAGGTATATGAATTATCTATCTCTCTTGGCAGGTTCATTATCTATCTATCTATCTATCTATCTATCTATCTATCTATCTATCTAGGCATATAACACGGTGTCGTATGTCTGTGATTGTCTGCTTGGGTTCATCAATGCTAGCAGGAAGAACAGGGGCATAGACCAGTTCATTCACATATCCCCATAAAAAGAAATCACATGGGGACAGGTCTGGTGACCGCGGCGACCATTTCATCGTCTCCACCAAGCCCGATCCATTTCTCTGGCAGATTCTATCTATCTATCTATCTATCTATCTATCTATCTAGGCATATGAATTATCTATCTAGGTCTCTTGGCAGGTTCATTATCTATCTATCTATCTATCTATCTATCTATCTATCTATCTATCTATCTATCTATATTGGCATATGAATTATCTATCTCTCTTGGCAGGTTCATTATCTATCTATCTATCTATCTATCTATCTATCTATCTATCTTGGCATATAACACGGTGTCGTATGTCTGTGATTGTCTGCTTGGGTTCATCAATGCTAGCAGGAAGAATAGGGACATAGACCAGTTCATTCACATATTCCCATAAAAAGAAATCACATGGGGACAGGTCCGGTGACCGCGGCGACCATTTCATCGTCTACACCAAGCCCGATCCATTTCTCTGGCAGATTCTATCTATCTATCTATCTATCTATCTATCTATCTATCTATCTAAGCATATGAATTATCTATCTCTCTTGGCAGATCATTATCTATCTATCTATCTATCTATCTATCTATCTATCTATGCATATAACACGGTGTCGTATGTCTGTCATTGTCTGCTCGGGTTCATCAATGCTAGCAGGAAGAACAGGGGCATAGACCAGTTCATTCACATATCCCCATAAAAAGAAATCACATGGGGACAGGTCCGGTGACCGCGGCGGCCATTTCATCGGAAAACTGTCTTCGTCTCCACCAAGCCCGATCCATTTCTCTGGTAGATTCTCATTGAGATAACAAAAAGAAAATATTAAATGTAAAATCTTGATCTGTTTCTATAAATTCTGTAAAAAATTTGAGGTTATTTCAACAAGAATTGCCAAAATTATTAACTTGCGAAATGATGTCAAATTCTTGAGGACACCCTGTATGCATTGATTGCAACTGTATGCCTTCAACTACAGATAAAATGTATTCTTGGTCATTTTTTTAAAAAAAAATGTATTCTTGGTCATTTTGCTATAAATATCTATTGTCGATCCTTTTTCATATGTATTGTTGGTAATTTTTCATATATATATATATATATATATATATATATATATATATATATATACGTATTTGCATACTTTTTCATAGTGTTTCGTTTTTTGTTTAGGGTACACTGTTTGTCCGTAGCTTGGTTTCTTACAGCTCCCATCACCCCGGATCGGAATGACCCTGGGAACAACAGCAATTAACAGGTGGTTCCACGCTCCTCAAAACCTCCCAGTCAGAAGCCTTGCTGCCGGATACAGTTTATGGTTATATCCAGGACAGAAACCTAGTTGGAGGGGAGTAAAGGACTGAGACATTTGTGGAAGTAAGGGGGATAAATGATGGACACATAGGATCTAAGAGGTAATGGGTGGAGTAATAGCCAGGGACATAGAAACTGAGGAAGGAGAGGTAAAGAGACGTAGGATCTAAGAGGATGTAGTAACGTGATAAATGACAAGGAAGAAATAAAATTGTCATGTGAAAATATTGACTATATTATGGAATATTTGTCAACATTATATACTATTATTGACTATATTATGGAATATTTGTTTAGCAACTATATAGCAATTGTTTTACTTCTAGGTGTCTAGAGATCTTTTAGTTAAGTATGAATCTGAAAAGGTTCTGTGGAAGTGAGCAGGATGGTGTTCAGTGGCTGGACCATAGTGCTGGCAAAGGAAGTGTCTTTAATCTTTTACGAGAATTTCAGAAATGCATCTATAAATGTCTTCGGCGTTTAACAAAATTGCCAGTTGCCTGGAAAGGAGACAAACAGATCAAGATTTATTCTTCTAATCATCAAAATGTCTCTCAAAATGCAGCCAGAAAAAACAAAAATATATTCAAGTCTTACCTTTGATGCTGCAAATCCCAAACTGACTAATCCATCAAATATCATCCCTATACAATTATTTTTATACCAGGCATTTTTTATATTTTTATAGTGTTTTGACTCTAGTTTGGGTGTCAACAATTTGCCCTTACAGGTGCTACCACCTCAGATCAAGGTGAACCTGGGAACAACAGAAATTAATTTATTTGAGTATGAAGTTCAAAAAAGGTTCTGTAGAAGTTTGTAGGATTGTGTTCTGTGTATGGACAATAGTCATGATAAAAGAAGTGTCTCCAAATTAGCGGACTTGCTGCCGCTGGAAATTTCTCGTCATACCCAGGAATAATTTCCGAATTGCTATTTTACATCATATGCTGATTACAAAGATAAACTTGCCGTAAGTTGTCCACTAAAAAATATATGCTTTATTATTATTATTATTATTATTTTTATTTTCTTTGATTTCTGGCGTTTACACATTTCTTTCCGGGTCCCGCCCAGGGACCTAAGGTTAGAAATGGCAGCATGACACTTTCCCCTGACAAAAAAAAAAAAAAAAAATTACATAGATAAAGCCCTTCGTAAGGTGTGGGCTGTACTTGTCAGAACAATTTTTTGTATCTCCTTGAGGCATGGACTTCCAGGAATCCCTTCAATTAGTCTACTGCAATCTTTTCCAACCAGTCCTAGGGCTCCAACTACAACAGGGATTGTTGATGTTCCCATATGCCCCATTTTCGAGATTTCTATTTCAAGGTCCTTGTATTTTGACAACTTTTTGAATGTCTTCAAAGATACATTGCAGGGACTGCCATGTCAATAAGGAGGCACCGTTTTTGTTTGTGGTCTTTAATAACAATATCTGGCCGGTTGGCCTTGATTGTTCTGTCAGTGTGTATTGTGTAGTCCCATAGAATTGTAACAGGTTCTATCTCCGTAACCGGGTCTGGGTGGTGTTCATACCAGTTTCTTTCAGTTTCCTTCCCGTAGAAGTTGCAGATTTTCCAGTGCAGATATTGGCCCACTCTGTCATGTCGGGTTTTATATTCAGTGGGTGCCAACACCGTGCAACCTGATACAAGATGTTCAATCGTTTCTGGATATTTATCACAGAATCTGCATTTTGGGCTAACACAATATTTTAGTATATGTGCTTGATAATTCCTAGTTAGCAAGCATTGGCCCCGCGCAGCAAGGATAAAACCTTCAGTTTCAGCTTTCAACCCTGCACTACGTAGCCACTGATGGGTACGGGTTTTGTCTACGTCAGTTTGTTTGGTACGGGCAGAGTATTGGCCATGAAGCGGTGTATCTTGCCATCGCTTCTATTATTGTTATTATTATTGTTATTATTATTATTATTGCTGTTGTTATTGTTATTATTATTATTATTATTGTCATTATTACTTTACTCATGTTTCAAGGCGAATTATAATTATTATGTCTTTTTTTATTGCCTGGTCCTATCAATTTCTCTTTAGAATAATGTTCAAGGTCATTCTTTTTCTGTGGAATTGTCCATGATGCTTGAAATTGACTCTGAGAGTATTCAAAGATTGATTCACGCCTTAAAGACACCCACCTCCACTCCACGGAAAAACCTTCACCTATTTGACAAATACAGCCAGGACGACGCGGGAAGATATCCAGTTTTCAATATGGCCGCATATTATTGTCTTCTTGCAATAGATTATCTTTGCTCCGTGTTGGTTTGATGAAGAGAACAGGGCTGTCCTTCCAGCAGACATTCTTAGATTTGTGTACATCATTTGCATGAATGGTTAACATATGAACTGGTGCTTTTCTTACGAGTAAGATTGATTGCTTCCTATCTATCTATCTATCTATCTATCTATCTATCTATCTATCTATCTATCTATGCATATGAATTATCTATCTATCTCTCTTGGCAGGTTCATTATCTATCTATCTATCTATCTAGGCATATGAAGTATCTATATATCTATCTATATTGGCAGATTCATAATCTATCTATCTATCTATCTATCTATCTATCTATCTATCTATCACAGTCTGTTCTTTATCTATCTATTTCGGTGCCTCCACTTTTTCGCCGAAAAAAAAAAACAGCATAGAATGAAGAAAGATAACCTAAACTTAATAAAAACAAAGTTTTATCGTCAAAACGTTTATGTTACTATTAAGAGGAAAGACGAAAGTATTGCTTTACTATTTTATTACTAAAATTTGTTAATTCTTTGTAGAATGCTCGACATTTTGGTTAAAAATCTTTTTTTTTTTAACTTCGGCAGTCTTCTTAATATTCACGATTTTTGTTTTAGTGCATTTTTTCAGGTAAAAACATTGATTTATAAATTCTTGTAAAAATCAAATGATTGTCGGATTTTAATGAATCTTTAAAAAGTTATTAAAAAATGAATGAAATTATATTTGAATTTTTTTAATTTTGAAAATCTTTGTAAAATATCCCCCACATAATTAATTTCATGAAATTTCAAGAAGTTATATTTTTGTAGGATTTTTTTTATTAGTTAAAAGCAAGACTCCTTGTATCATCAATGTCTTTTTTTCAAACTACTATTTTTTTTGAAAATCTCCGAATCTTACCATAAAAACATGCAATAAAACTATGAAATTATGTAATTAGAAAAGCTTTTGTTTGCTTTTATTAACAAGACTTATTAAAGACACTATTGTCTTAAGAAAAAAATTCGATGAATAATCAATTTTACAAGAATTGTTTTCATTATTTTAAAAATTCTAATTCTAATAATTTGTAATATATAAATCGTTTAAAATTCGTCATTAAATGATATTGTTATTAAGTGAAAACTATATTTAAGAATAGAAAACTGAAAAGCTTAATTATTGTTTTGCATCAAGATGTTTAAAACAATTTTAATTCTAAAAGGAATTTTAAAAAAGTGTATAAACATTCTTATTTTTATAAGTATGGTAGTCCATTTATGATATTATCATTAAAAGGCCACGTGTGGTAATGGTTTCCCTGTCCTTACTGAAAAGAACCTTTTCGACTGTGTTCAATTCTTTAATTTCATTTATTCATTTCTGTGTTTCATTGTATTTACCTTTCAATAGGCTTTGCAAATCACTCCTTTAATATTTTAAAATAAGTTTTATTTTTTTTTTTAATTCATAATTTACTAAATATTTCAGTGTAACCCGGATATAAGAGACCCGGATATAAGAGAAACCCGGATATAAGAGAGATTTTCTCTGGTCCCAAATTAGAGCCTGTGTTAATGTATATAAAATAGACCAAACCCTGATATAAGAGACCCTGATATAAGATAAACCCGGATATAAGAGAGATTTTCTCTGGTCCCAAATTAGAGCCTGTGTTAATGTATATAAAATAGACCAAACCCTGATATAAGAGACCCTGATATAAGAGAAACCCGGATATAAGAGAGATTTTCTCTGGTCCCAAATTAGAGCCTGTGTTAATGTATATAAAATAAACCAAATCCGGATATAAGATAAACCCGGATATAAGAGACTTCTTCTCCGGTCCCGACAACACTCTTATATCCGGGTTACACTGTATTTTATGTAATTATTTTACTTTGGGTCATACAGTGTAACCCGGATAAAAGAGACCCGGATATAAGAGAAACTCGGATATAAGAGAGATTTTCTCTGGTCCCAAATTAGAGCCTGTGTTAATGTATATAAAATAGACCAAATCCGGATATAAGAGAAACCTGGATATAAGAGACTTCTTCTCCGGTCCCGACAACTCTCTTATATCCGGGTTACACTGTATTTTATGTAATTATTTTACTTTGGGTCATACTTCAAATATGTATTTAATAGTTTCACTTAGTTAAGAAAGAACCTAGATACGAAACCAAATCTAATTCTAATAAAATTAATTTTTACTTTAAGATAAATTAAATTTTTCTTATTCAATTTCTACATGAAGTTGTTATTTTTTAATTCGCTTGTCATTTTGAAATTTCTTTTCAAGTTATTTTTTACTTCACTCCTATTTCATAAAAACAATGTTTTTGTCAATAGTTTTTACTTACGATTTTTCTTGTTTTTTTCTTAGGTTTATTCTTTTTTATCAGAGTTATTTTGATAAAAACTGTTTGAACAACAACTTTTTTTAAAATCATAAACCTAATGTTTAATTTAATTATTATTATACTTTATTTCGTTCACATGTAAAATTAGTTTTCTCATTTTAATTAATTTTGAATAGTTTCGAACACTGAGTGTTCACAATTTTTGCAATGAAGAAAATAGATAAATGTATGCTTCACGTGGCAAAATGGACTAAACCTTACTGATTTTGAAATAATCGTGAAATGTTTTAGTAGTTGTTTAGTAATGTTTATTATTAGGCTGGTGCAAAAATAATGACGTAATAATGTCGTTTTTGACGTTAAAAAATACGTCAAAAAACGACATTATTACGTCATTATTTTTGCACCAGCCTAATAATTATTAGTTAGTATTAAGATTAAAGAATATTTTAATTATTACATTTTTTCTAAATCAGTCTCTTAATTTTCTTGCTTACTTATCTTTATTTTAAAGGAGAAACTGAAGACATATTAAAAGATTACAGGTACATAAAAAGTGCACAACCAATTCAGATTGGCTATATTTTTGAGTAAGTTCTCCAAAAATATGGAACATTACAGAAGATATCAGAATGCCAGAAATGGTTTCCCTCCAATTTCATTGAATTCAGTTAGGGATTTCTTGCATTCTATAAAAAACGAAACGCAGGAAGAAATGTCTCAGAATTTGGAAAACGATGTGAAGTGGTCGGCCATTCTGTTGCAAGTTCAGCCAAGTTAGTTGAAGCTACTGCTATATCTACTTATGCGTTTTTGAACACCAGCAAAGTTGCAACTACAACCGTGTCTGCTGCAGTTGCATCCCTGTCTGCTGCAAATACAACCTTACCTGCTGCAACTGCATCACTATCTGCTGCAAGTCCAACCCTGTCTGCAAACCTTTCTGCTGAATCTCTAATCTGCAACAGCTGCAACTGCAAACCTGTCATCTACAACTGCAGCCTTGCCCTCTACAAATTCAATCCGGTGTACATCTGTCGCTCCTTTTTCAAAGTTCAGTAAAATAATGACCCTAAAGAAACACTTGGCACATATATATATATATATAATCCAACATTAACGGCCCTTATGATTGGGTCTAGTATGAAAAAACAGCCTGTCGCCCTTGAGTGCTGACTTCAATATTCACTTTTATATTTATATTTACATACGCTTTATCTCTGATATTGAGCACTTTATTCTGTATATATAGCACACATTAATACAATATTTCTTTATATATATATATATATATATATATATATAGATAGATAGATAGATAATATTAGTGGAAAATATACATACATATGAAAAATATATATCTAAAAAAATTTCCATACATGTATATTTTCAGAAAAAAATTTCAGAAAAAAATTTTTCCAAGAGGAAGGATCCAGGTAGAACTCAATGTCTAGGACAGAGTAAGGATATAATAAAAAGAAAACACTAATATTCCATGGTCATAATTTATTCCATTGGAATCGTAAATATCCAAATCATCAGACCTACAAATTAGGTCTGATGATTTGATCGTATTTACGATTCCAATGGAATAAATTATGACCATGGAATATTAGTGTTTAAGCCTTTTATTATTATATATATATATATATATATATATATATATATATATATATATATATATATATATACTAATGCTAAAGAATAAAAGAACTATCAGGATCTATATCGAAAACATTGTTCATGGAAAAACCTGCTGTTCCGGAAAAAGTTCTACAACTATCAACAAAATGGTGGGGGAGCTTGTCTTCCGTTCAGATGTCAAGACATAGAATGCCATGCTAAATGCAGAAAACTGCACTTTAGTTTTCGATTCTACGAAACAAAATTGAATCCACATGAACTGTGTGGTCTTCACAACGCCATCATATTGCCATCTTGTGTCGCTGGAACATCTTCCTGTAGCGACTGCACAGGATTACAAGCAGCATATTTGCGACTGCATTAACAACTTAGCTAATGTAGGCTCACTGTCCATTGACATAAGAATTTATGTCAGTTTTTAAAAATAACATATTAAAATTGAATGCTGCTTAACAAACCGTGTTCCCGACAATAATTCGGCGGTTTTGTTAATAGAAAAACAGTGGCATATTAAAATTACAGGACTATACCGTAATTAGAAGCAGTTTCAATGAAGACAAAGTAGGTCCTGAAGGATTGCGAGACCTGCACTACCGGAACATAAAAATTGAGTGAGTGCCTAACATGGCAATTTCTTGTGGCCATGAATTCCCTCAGAAATAGTGATAAATTAGGGTGTGATAACACAGTGAAGTCCTTTATTTAACAACAATCGATTTCATGTAACTTTCCATCTAGGTGCAACATTGTTTTGGAACTTTCCCTCATTAATGAAACCACATCAGGGTTGCAGTAGCTATTAACGGGAAAAAGCACTATCGTCGAGATGCAGGTGCTGAGAATAATAAGGAAGGTGCTATCAGGGCCTTGAATGGGTACCTGCTACATCAGTGTAAATACTCGAAAAGACCCCAACTGGTGAATGATCATTGTTAAAGGGGCCATTGAAAATTTGAAGGTACTGACTGAGGACCCCATGATTATTTTGTTCTCCAAGAAGGAATACTTTGGAAGTCCATTACCAAAGAAAGTTATAGTCCCTACTAATTTTCCACGCAAATGAACATTTATTTCGAAAAAAATGACAGCTGCCTGCTTAAAAGGGACTGCGGAAGTTTTTAGCAGGCAGTAAAAAAAAAAAATGTTCCCCACGGTTCCAAGTCAGCGTTAATATCGGTGAGGCAGCAAACCATGCTAGCTGAAGGGATCATTGGTGAATATTATGAAAGAAAGCTGCTTGCGACTAATGTTTAGACATCAAACATAAGTGATGTTATCAAGGCCAAGCGGAATCAAGGAAATTTATTGATGATCTGGATGCTGAGCAGTTCAAGAATTACTTACAGTTGGCACTGATTTACAGCAGAAAGAAGACTGGGCTTAAGAAGATGCTGCACCAAGAAGTCGAAGAAGAAATTGGTAGAAGAATCCAGGATTAAGATTTCAATCAAGAAAAAAGGTAAAGAGCCATAATCCAGAAAAATCTAAAGGATTTCTTCTTTGCTTATTGAGTATCCACAATACGTCGTACCATCAGACGTATTAGGACATTTGATGATGTAAACCGTGATTATGTTGGCTACATTAGTTTTGTAGATCCAGTTTATAGGTTTTCCTATCTGAATGATATAGTTAATAACTATCAATTGAAAAAAAAAAGTTGGCGCTGTGTTATGCGGCACATCTAATTGGAGAATCAGCCCAGCAAAGAGGACGGTTGAAGAGGCAATTGAAGACATAAAAAACGGCCATTTTAGAGCCACAAAATATTTTCAAACAGTATTTTCACTCTTACAAATAGTATAATTTTCATTAAACATATTGTTTATGGTATTGGATTAAATTTATAAAAGTGAAAACAATTACGCAGTTGATAACAAAATTTATAGTACTATGAAAATTTAATGAATAAAATAACTTTAACATTTCATATCCATCATGATAACAATTAATAATAAAGAATAGAATAAAAGAAAATAACATATTGAAAAATATAAATTAATAATAAATAAAATAACACAACATTCCATAAATTATAGAGTTACCTCTATCATGGAATTTCATTATTAGCTCAGTTAGTAAATGTTTTATTTCATTTAAGAAAAAATTATAGCATTTTCAGTTTTATTATTTTTCAGAAAGCATCTTTAAACGTAAGACTATAAAGCTAAAGTCAAATTCAATAAAATATTAAATAATTCCAGAAAAGATTATATTAATTCTTAAAAAAATGTTAATTATTTAAAAGCCATAAATCAAAGCATTCACTGAGATTTCGTAAATTTATGCCTATTCTGGTCAAACATACTTAGCTCGTCAACACCTCAGAAAAACTAAAGCACATTAAGAAATGTTTGTATACTACGTTTTATAATATAATAAGTAATACTAGTTTCAAGTCAGATTATTTTAAGTTCAAATTTTCTTCAAATAACGTGTCACAAATATATACTTTATTTTTGGAAGATTTTTTAAACCGAGAATTAACTTTTGTTTACAAATGTGTCAAGATGGATGATTTTAAATGATTTTTTGAAAACGAGTAAAAAGTTGAAATTCTGATCAGTATAATTCTTATTTGAAACACATCAGATCATCGTGCTTACTGGAAATAGAAATAGAAAATGTAATAATTTAGACTTCAATTACAGTTAAAAAGAAAGATTCAAGGATTATTTTTCGTTTTTAAAATTTACTTAAACCTTAGGTATCGAAAATTAGTGGAGGTATCTTTATGTATCTATTTATCTATCTATCTCAGTTTTTTCATATCTATCACTGTTCATATCTATCTATCTATCTATCAGTCGCTGCTTGTGTATCAATCTAACTTTGTTCAAATATATGTATTAGCCTGTGTTCAGTCTGCTCACATCTATCAGTCTGTGCCTGTCTATCACTTTTTTTCATATATATGTATCAGTCTGTACAAAAATACTTACATATCTATGTATCGTTGTTCATATGTATATAATGTATGCAAGTCTCTTTATAATTATCTATGGATATCAGTTAAATGTTTGTATGTATGTTTATATCGTTTTATTTAAGTCTGCTCAAATATATATATATATCTATCTTTACAAATTTTTCTATCTATGTACGTTTTGTTAAATGTATGTTTGTATCTAAGTCTGCTCAAATACACTGATTTTCCAAGCGTGGCTTTGATTTGGCACAAGGACTAAAGTAGGAGGCACCCAGTGAGGATCGAACTCACTACTCAGTTGTAATTGTTCTAGCGAGCCAAGCTTGCTAACCATTACACCGCCACGAGGTGCCCAAGTCTTCTCAAATGTATGTATGTATGTATGTATATATGTATGTATCATCTTTGTTCATATTTATGCATTAGCCTGTTCTTATCAGTTTGTTCATATATATTTATCAGTCTGTGTCTATCTATCTATCACGACTTGCTTATATCTATCTATCTATCTATCTATCTATCTATCTATCTATCTATCTATCTATCTAAGCAGGATCAATATCTATCTATCTATCTATCTATCTATCTATCTATCTATCTATCTATCTATCTAAGCATGATCAATATCTATCTATCTATCTATCTATCTATCTATCTATCTAAGCAGGATCAATATCTATCTATCTATCTATCTAAGCATGATCAATATCTATCTATCTATCTATCTATCTATCTATCTATCTATCTATCTATCTAAGCATGATCAATATCTATCTATCTATCTATCTATCTATCTATCTATCTATCTATCTATCTATCTATCTAAGCATGATCAATATCTATCTATCTATCTATCTATCTATCTATCTAAGCATGATCAATATCTATCTATCTATCTATCTATCTATCTATCTATCTATCTATCTAAGCAGGATCAATATCTATCTATCTATCTATCTATCTATCTATCTATCTATCTATCTATCTATCTAAGCATGATCAATATCTATCTATCTATCTATCTATCTATCTATCTATCTAAGCATGATCAATATCTATCTATCTATCTATCTATCTATCTATCTATCTATCTATCAAGCATGATCAATATCTATCTATCTATCTATCTATCTATCTATCTATCTATCTAAGCAGGATCAATATCTATCTATCTATCTATCTATCTATCTATCTATCATTCATCTATCTATCTAAGCATGATCAATATCTATCTATCTATCTATCTATCTATCTATCTATCTATCTATCTATCTATCTATCTATCTATCTATCTTTGCTGTGCTCCTGGCCAATATATTACAGATTGATCAGCTATCAGCCGACAGCCATATTCAAATTGAATAGACGAAACCCCAAGCATCTTATTCTCTCTTTTATACAGCACGTTTCACTAATTAGCAACCAAACGTGCCCGTCGGCTTTTCCCATATTGGCTCCAAAACAGTGTCCATCATTTATACATGACGGC